TATCAGCAGAGCCTCGCCCGAGGCTAAGGTGTTCTTTTCCCAGAAGGGTGAAGAGACCTGAGAAGGTGAGGGGGGCTATGCAAAGTGACTCCAAGACCACAATGCAGCATGGGTCCCCCGCTGTACGGAAAAACCCCAAAACAACGAGCCACCTAAGAATTGAGAGACTGGAGTGATGTCTGGACGTGAGGAGCCGAATGCTGAGCCTGCAGAGACGCGGAACACCTTCGGACCCTCTCGCCCTGACCATGAGAGACGACCCCGGCGATGAGACCAGGCCGACTGAGCCGGCAAAAGTACCACCTGACGGGGAATCACGCCCTAAAGGCTCCCACGAGGACTGGATTCCCCCAGCTCTGCCCCTTGTGGACAGAGCTGCGCATATCCTCCTCCTCTGAGTCGCCCTGGGAGACGACGGGACCTGCAGACCCGCCGAGCCACCCAATCCTGAGCTGATCACTTTCAATAAAGGCATTAAAAAGGAGAAGAAGTCTCCTGGCCCTGTTTATTTCAGTCAGTGTCAACTTCTGCCTCCTAATCCTTAGCGGCGTCTTCATGGCTGAGCAAGGCGGGAAGAAGTTCCTTTCTTCTAATAACAGAGCAGTAAATTGTCTTTCTCTGAAAGATTTCGGTGTCCTGTGGCTGCTATCTGGTGCAAGTACTTCATCCATTTCTTAAAAAAGTATCCCACATACATAGTTCCTACTTTAACTACAAAACTACATTTACCATACTGTTAAAATGTTGATACTGCCCTACTAATCACTACCACAAAATACATTATAGTATTTTATATCTGCATGGAGGCATATAATATGTACTTTTCACACTGGCAAGGGAAAGGGATTCCTTTAATCTGTCTAACCACAAATAAAATAAATAAAAAGGCTGTCCCTCTTACAGCAAAAAATCTGATATGCCCACAAACACCACAAATGGGGGCGGGGGGGGGATTTCCTGGAATTCTTTTAATTTGCTTTAATGCACATAAATCACCACACTAGTTTTTCCACATAAAATGCTGCACTTGTTGCAAACAAAATCTTAAAATCTCACATACAGAACTATACAGTCCCAAGAATCAAATTACCACAATGCAGGGGAAAAAACCCACACAGCTCTCCTGTACCTCAAGTCTTGGGAATCAGCTTATAACAAGCTGTCTCTATTTCAGCTCTGACAGCCCACAAACATCGGTTACAGTTAAAACCCTATAAAAGGGTGGCTTAACCCTTTTGACTCAGGCTCAAGCTTAATACGCAGCTTAACCTAGATGACATACAACAAAAATTACCAGCTTGTTACAATTATAACTTTTACACAATAGTCAGCAAAATCTCACACTACACCAGATGAATCCAAAGTTGCATCTTTGCAAACTCCACAAGGAGAGGGACCACAAAGGCACCGTGTTACAGCATTTGATCCTCGCCTCCCAGGTCCCACAGGCAAAGGATTGGTTAACACCTGAACACAAAGCCTTATAAAGACTGGTTATACTCAAACACCAGGTGTCACAGCGAATGCTGCTCCCCAAAACTAGAAAGTTCACACACACAAACTCAGTGTGAAAGGGGTATTTCTTTCCACACACACAAACTCACTGTGAAAGGGGTATTTCTTTCCACACACACAAACTCAGTTATAACAACCTTGGACCAGCATTTGCCCTTACGACTGCTAGCCCCAGTTGGTGGCAAACTGAGCTCTCTATGCTGAAACAAATGGCAGCACCAAAAGCCCGAGCTCAGTACAAGTTCAACAACTCTTTCTGCTGGCAACCAGATTTCAACTGCAACTTCAGCTTGCAAGCACACTACAGAGGCACAAATTGCACGTGGGACATCTCCCACGACTTACCAAAGGGCCTCTCCTGACCACGCCTTACCGGTCACTGTTTAAAACTGTTTCAATTTTTAAACATACCATTTTGTCTGAAGTTTTAGTAGTCAGGGGTCCTTGTCTGCTGCTGGATGAACAGTCTGTGCAGCAGAGCCCACTCTTCCAGGAATAACCTGGGGGTGCTGTTGCAGAATGCAGCCTTTGTCGGGGATGAGCCATTTGTCAGGTGCAGGGAAAACTCGGGGCTCAATATGAGTCAACAGCAAGTTCCGTTTATTGAAGAGAGCATCAGACACTTATACAGCAAGTAATAAGCTTATGAATATTCTGTAAGCCAAGCGAAGTATTGGTTAAACTATACCATCAGCTCTTCCTCATTCCTTTGGGCCTGCATTCTCTATTTCCCACGTCTCTCTGTCCACTCGTTATCATACCCAGCTAGGCCCAAGGACACGCTATCTTGCAGGTGCAAAAACTCCAACTAGCTGTGTTCGGTACTTTCCCAGCTCCTGGTCGGCTAACAAGCGAATGTCTACGTGACCTCTGTCATGTAGCCATTTCTCCACAGGGTGCACCAAGGGGGTCCATGACCTGAGCTGGTCTCACAGCTCAGCAGAGCCTCCTCCTGGCTGGCTTGCTAACTGAATCATTAAAACTGAAGATCATGGACAAAGTCTCTCTAACTAGTCAAAAGTTAGAAAGTTGTATGTTTATTATACCGGTGGGCAGCACAGGGGAATCATTCTCAAAATGCGTGACCGCACCACACAAGGATTTTTGCCTTCTATTTATTTGCCAAAATAATACATATACATAACCCCAGCACCTCCCATCCCCGCGTTGTATTAAAATGAGGTTATTAGTCCTTCACGCGTGCGCAATTCTTCTCTTGAATTGGGTCAGTGGTCTCAAACTGGGCCAGTGGTCCCAGGGATGAAGTCAGGAAGGTCTTGGTCAGGTCCCTGTGACCCTCTGGCACAATCCAAGGCCCCCTGCTTTGTGATGGATTAACATGGAGTCCAGGTGCTGGGCATTGTTCTACTGGTTTCAATATGTTCCTATAATGGTTCACTTGCTCCACTTCTTTCTACAAATGAGCTCATAATATAACAATTAGCTTTATCTTAAGCATCCAATAATCATTAACCTAACATTGGTGTATCTAACTTCAATATGAATTGGTTCTAACACTCAGCTAAAATCCTAACCCTTTAAAATCATGATTCAATAGGACTTAGCAAAACATAAGATGTGAAAAAGGCTTTTGTGTAACTAAAAACAGTGTAAGGCCATCCACTGACCAGCCTGTCCAAGTAATAAGATAACTGTGACACAAAGCAGAGCACCAGAGGACAATTAGACAATACCATGTTAAAATTAGGGAGGCCATACTGAATCCTTATCAGAGGATGTGAAACAGCAGGATGGAGACACAAAAATAAATAAAATATATTGACCTGACACACAGGATGTTGTGTAGATAAGCTGGAGTGTGAAGAAGTCAAAGAAAGAACTTCCCAAAACATCGGAAAGTTCACAAGAATTTTTGAATAATGCATGAAACACATGAATGTGCAGATATCTCAGCAGTGTAACAGTATAAAGATAACATTGTCTGTGTACACCCCTGTGTTCTTTGGCTGTTGGCCAAGAGCACTCCAGCGCATGGGAGGGGGGGGAAATATCGTCCTTTTCTGGATTATTATTATTATTGTTATTGTTATTCTTCTTCTTATTATTATTACTACTATTACTATTACTCTTACTATTATTATTAAACTTCTAAAAACTCTAAGCAGTGAATTTTGTTTTTCACACCCTGAACAGGATCAGGACCCCCCTGAGTCCCCCATTCCAGTGAACGAGGACCCCCTGCACTGGATCCCAGCCAGGCCCTTATCTAGCACCGGGACGCCCCCAAACCCTGATTCCCAGGAAGGGACTCCCCCTGAACCCCCATTCCAGGGTACCAGGACCCCATTGCATGCCCTTATTCAACACCAGGACCCCTGTTCACCCCCACATCCGGGACTGGAACCTTCCCAAAGCCTCCATTCTCAGGCACAGGGACCCCCCTGCACCCCCTTATCTGTGGATATATCTTATCTGTGAATATATGTATTGTTATAACAGCAATAAGAATACAACAACTGAAATGTAGTGAGAGTCCTATGTATTAGATAAGTGGGTCCTAGCTATTCTAAATGAGTCACAGCTGCGTAGTCCTTAGTTGGGCAGCAGCTGTGGCTTGTAAAGACAGCTGGGATAAAAGGGGTGGGTCGAGAGCCCAGGAGGAGCCCCTGAGAAGACACATGAAGAACTGTGCTGCAGAGAAAACAGCTTGCTACAGTATGGGACTTGAGAAATATGAATAACAACAAGAATGAAACACTTATCCAGCACAGGGCCCCCCTGCACCCCCTTATCCATCACCAGGATCCCCCTGCTTCCCCTCATCCAGCCCGGGGATCCCCCTGCACCCCCTTATCCAGCCCCAATGCCCCCCCGCACCCCCTTTTCCTGGACCCCCCCCCTCCTGCCTTCCCCAGCCTCCACCCATCACCTTCCTCAACACCGGGGGCCCTGCACCCCCTTTCCTGGGCACAGGGACCCCCTGGAACCCCCATTGCCCTCACCCCCCATTCCTGGGCACAAGGACCCCCCGAACCTCCGTTCCTGGGCAGGGGGACCTCGCTGCACCCCCTTATCCGGGACTGGGACCCCTCCTGGACCCCCTTCACGTGTTCTGGGACCCCCTACACCCCTGCCAGGCCCTCTCGCCCTTCCCAGACCCCAGACCCGCCCTTTTCCTTCACCTTTGTACCCCCAGATGTCCCAAATTTCCGGATCCCCCCAGTTCTCCCCTCCAGGCTCTTCCTTAAGGGGGTTCCCAGGGGTTCCCAGGTGGTTCTCAGAAGGCTCCAGGGCGGTCGCAGCGGGGATCCAGAGGGTTCCAGAGGGATTCTCTGCAATTCCCCCGTCCCCGCCCCGCCCTCCTCGGTCCCTTTCGCTTCCGCGTCCCAACCTGCGAGACCGGGATCTGCCCGGTGACCGGTGACGTCACTGACAGATCGGGCTGCCATTGGCGAGCAGTAAAAAGCGGGGCCAATGGCGGGGCCGGATGCGGCTCAGGGAGCCTGGCCATGGCTGGGGCGGGGCCGCAGCCGAGCAGCGCCATGGCTCCAGCGCTGGGTTTGGGGCTGCTCTGGGGGCTCCTGGGGCTCCTGGGGGACCCGGGGGGCGCGACCAAAGGTGAGTGGGAACCCCGAAACCGGGAACCCCCTGAACTTCCATTTCTGGGCCCCAGGACCCTCCTGAACTTCTGTTACCGGGCACAGGAATCCCCATAGCCCCATTTTGGGTCCTGTGACCCCCTCCATCCCCTCCTTCCGTACCGGGACCCCCTGTTCCCCTTATCTGGTACCGGGACCCCCCTGAACCCCATTCCTGGGCTCGGGGACCCCCGTGAACGTTCATTTCTTGGCAGCGGGACCCCCTGCGCCTCCTTATCTGGCCCCGAGACCCACCGGATCACCCATTCCTGGGGATCAGGATTCCTTTGAACCCCAAATCGCGGCACGGGAACTCCCCTGAACCCCCATTCCTGGGCACTGGGTCAGCTCTGAATCTCCATTTCTGGGCACCAGGACCCCCCTTCACCCCCTTATCCGGGACTAGGATCCCCCCACACCCCCGTCAGTGCTCTGGGATCCCTCTGCCCCCCTTTTCGGGCATCCCGCCCTTCCCAGACCCCAGACCCTCTGGACCATTTCCTTGACCTTTAGATTCCCCCAGATCTCCCAACTTTCCATGTTCCTCCCGTTTTCCACTCCCACCGCTTCCTGAAACGGGGTCCCAGAGGGTCCCTGGGGTCTCAGGGGGTCGCAGGGGGGATCCAGATGAACTCCCTGGAATTCCCCGTTTCCCCCGTCCCCTCCCCCGGCGTTCCCTCCGTCTTTTCTCTTTCCCGTCTCCCAAGCTGCGTCCGCCTGCCTCTCCGAGCCCCAGACCCCCCTTTCCGTGACCAGGGACTCCCTGGAGCCCCATTTCTGCCTTTCCCAGCTCCCAGACCCCATTTCCCTCAACACCGGGGACCCTTGGACCCCCTTTGGTGGGCACAGGGACCCCCTGGATCCCCCATCCTGCCTCTCCCAGTCCCTTCATTGGACCTTGGACCCTTCCAGGCTCTCCTGGTTCCGCTTCCTGATCCTTGGACGTCCCCATGGGGTCCAGGAAGGTCCCTGGGTGGTTGTGGAGGTTCCAGGGGGGATTCTGGGCTCTGGGACACCTCCTGAATTTTCAGTCCTGGGCACTGGCCCCCCCCTGCACCCCCTTTCTCCTTTGTCCTGCTTTCCCCAGTCCCCCCCTTTTCCTTGTCCCTGAGACCCCCTGGACCCCCATTCCTGCTTTTCTCAGGCCCCAGCCCCCCCTTTCCTCTGCATCAAGGACCCCTGAGCCTCCCATTCCCAGCTCTCTCCACCCTGTGACCCCTTTCCTCGGCACTAGGGACCCCTGGACCCCCTTTCTTTGGCACAGGGATCCCCTGGAACCCCCATCCCACTTTCCCAGTCCCTGCACCTCCTCTCCCATAACCCCTGAGCCCCCATTCCTGGACACCAGAACCGCCTGCAGGCCCTTTCCTGTCCATCCCACCTCTCCCACCCTGCACACCCTTTCCTTGGCCCCAGGATCCCAAACCCCTTCCCAGCTCTCCCAGTTCCCCTTTCATTGATCCATGATCCCCTCAACCCCCCCAAATCTCCGTGTCCCCCCAGTTCTCCACTCCCTGCGTTACCTGTACATGGCGATGTCAGAGCCCAGCCCAGGGATGCCCCAGTACATGATCCCTGGATACCTGGATGGGATCCCCTTCACACGCTACGACAGTGAGCAGGGCCGGGTGGAGCCGCTGACACAGTGGATAAAGGATGGAGCCGAGCCGGGATATTGGGAGAGGCAGACCCAGCATGCTGTGGCATGGCAGCATGTGGGTGCCAGGAACCTGGAGACACTGCAGGAGCGGTACAACCAGAGCAGGGGTGAGTGGGGGGGAGCTGTGGAGCTGGGATGGGATCTGTGGGGTTGGGATGGTATCTGTAGGGCTGGGGTAAGGATCCATAGGGCTGGGATGGGATCTGTAGGTCTCAGATGTGGATTCACAGGGCTCCAAGGGGCTGAAACAGGGATCTATTAGCTGGGATGGAATGTCTTGTGATCCATGGGGCTGGGATGGGATCCATGGGGTTGGAATGTGGATCCATGGGGCTCCAAGGGGCTGGGATGAGGTTCTGTGAGTCTCCATCAGACTCTGGGGCTCCATGGGGCTGGAATGGGGCTCTGTAGGGCTGGGACACAATTCCATGGGTCTTTGTGAGTACAATCTCCCCAGATCTCCACACAAGGTTGGTAGTTTATGGCTGTGAACTCCTGTCCGACGGGAGCATCCGCGGATCCTTAAGGATTGGCTGCAATGGGTGGGATCATCTCTCCTTTGACCTGGAATCTGGGAGATTGATGGCAGCCAACACCATTGCTGAGGTCACCAGGAGGTGCTGGGAACAGGATGGGACTGTGATTGAGGCGCGGATGAATTACCTGAAGCATGTCTGCCCGGAAGGGCTCAAGAAATACGTTGGATACGGACAGAAGGAGCTGGAGCGCAAAGGTGGGAGCAGAATTCCTGTGGGAATTTGAGATTTGGGAATGGAGCACTTTGGAACACAGTAACTCCTGTGGGAATTCCATGGCTAGATCTCACTCCCATCCCATTCCCATGGAATTCTATGGAGTGGAAATTCAATAGGTACAACTCACCCCCATCCCATTCCCATGAAATTCCCTGGGCAGATCTCCCTCTCAACCCATTGCAGTGAGAATTCCATGAGTAGAGCTCACTCCCATCCTATTCCCATGGAATTCCATGGGCAGATCTTACCCCCATCCCATTCCCTTGGAAATTCCATTGGCAGATCTCACTCTCATCCCATTCCCATGGAATTCGATGGCAGATCTCACTCTCATCCCACTGCAGTGGGAATTCTCTAGTCAGATCTCACTGTCATCCCATTTCTGTGGGAATTTCATAGGTACAGCTCACTCCCATCCTATTCCAATTGGAATTCCATGGATGTCCGTTACCATTATCCCATTCCAGAGCCCCCTGATGTCCACGTGTCCGGAAGAGAGGAACACGGGACGCTGATCCTGTCCTGCCATGCGTATGGATTCTACCCCAACACCATCGCAGTCAGCTGGATGAAGGGGGGTGAAACCTTGGATCAGGAGACGGAGTGGGGCGGGATCGTTCCCAGCAGTGACGGCACCTTCCACACCTGGGCCAGGATCGAGGCGCTGCCGGAGGAGCGGGAGCAGTACCGGTGCAGGGTGGAGCATCCCGGAATGCCGGAGCCCGGGATCTTCGCTTGGGGTGAGGCTGGGAATGTGGGGATTGGGAATTTGGAATTCCCAAATGGGGATTCCCTTTCCCCTTCTCACTATCCCGCGTTTCTCAGAGCCGACATCTGGGGGGAATCTCACCATGATGGTCACTGTGTCTGTCATCGCTGTCATGCTCATCCTCCTCATCAGATTCGGCGTCTGGAAGCTCCAATCCGGTAACACACGGGATGGGGGTCGGGAAGGGACACGGATCCACCCGGCACTGTTCTGGGAATCCTGTGCCACCAATGCTGATCCCACTTTGTTTCCACAGGGAGGAGAGACAGGAATGGATACAACCCGGCAGCTGGTGAGTTCCAGTGGTGGATCCAGCTCTGGATCCCCTCTGTGTGGATCCCGGGATGGATCCTGGGGTTAATCCCAGTGTGTGATCCGTGCTGGAGTCTCACGGATCTTCTCTTTCTGCAGGAAGGGACATGGGAACCAACAGCTTCAGCACAGGTATGGAGCAGGATCAGGGTGGGATTCCAGAGGGGGACTGGGGCAGGATGGATGGACTGGGATCAGGGAGGGATTATGGAACAGGGCAGGAGTCCGTCCAGAGTGGGATCAAGTGGAATTGTAGAGTGGGACTGGGGCTGGATTCTGGAGCAGGATTAGGTGGGATGGATGGAGCAGGATCGGTCCAGGATGGATAGAGTGAGATCAGGGAAGGATTCCAATTCTGGATCGGGTGGGATGGATGGAGCAGGATTGGAGCAGGATTGGAGTGGGATCCTGTGGGATTCTGGAGCAGCTCCTGCTCTCCATGGGCTCCAGCCAGGCCAGCCTGTGGAATGGGGACAGGGACAGGGTGACACCGTGACCCTCTCTCATCCTGGCAGGAATCACTGCCTGAGTGATCCATGGAGCTGGATCTGGCCCTTTCCCTCTTCCCAGGAAAGCTGAGAGCTGCCACCAGAGCTGATCCTGCTGCTCCCACCCACCCCACAGGTCTTTCTAATGGATCAATTTCCAGTTTTCCATTTCCCAGTGTTTTAAAGGCAAGAACCACAAATATTTACAATGCTTTAGTTCTGGTGTGAAATTATCCTGCTTTGGGCAATAAATCTACTTGGGGCAATAAATCCTGCTTTGGGCAATGTCCTGGATTGTCACGCAAATTGTATTCTATTTACCATCTGTATGGCAGTTGTTTTCTGTTAAGTAGGCAGTTTTCCTTATCTCTTCTACAACCGGGGAGATATCTGTTGATAACAGGCTATTGAATGTCACTGCCTGACTGATAAGAACTACAGCATCCCAGTGTGAGATGCTCCGCCCAGAGGGGAGAGCCAAACATTCCTACCTGGATATAATCTTGAGGTTCTGGACCACCAGCATGGCTTTCTCCACTGCATCCCCAGAGGAACAGCAGCTGCCTCTCCTTCCACTGGATCTTAGAGGAAGACTGCACCTTTCTACAGGATCCCTGCTCCAACAGAACCACACCTGACGCTCCAGGAGGACTACAGCCACATTTCCAATGGGACTGCTACCAACAGCCTGGCCAACAGGGTGTCAGGCGGTGTTCTGACTCTGTCAGTGTTGTTCTAGTGCCCTGCATTGTTTATTTTATCTTTTTATTTTCTTGCCTAGTAAAGAACTGTTATTTCCTGCTCCCATATTTTTGCCTGAGGGTCTCTTAATTCCAAATTTATAGCAATTTGGAGGGGTGGGGAGGGTTTACATTCTCCATTTCAGGGGAGGCTCCTGCCTTCCTTAGCAGACTCCTGTCTTTCCAAACCAAGACAGATTTTGGTGCCCAACGTGAAGCTTAAGGGCATAGAAACAAAAAGGGGATAACAGTTCTTGAGTAATCTAATTTTGTGTGCTGATATAGAAACCTTGTTAGGTGTCACCATGTGGTCCAGCTTGCCCTGGTTTGGGGGGCATGTGACCATGGCTGTATTTGTCCCATTCACACGCCCTCATCTAAACATGGGTCCTATAACCAAGGCTGTTGTCTGGTTTGCTTTACAGGTTAATAAGGTGAGGAATTCATGGATTTTTAACTTCCACTGGAAGGCAAGCACACGAATTCAGAGCTATCACACCCTTACTGTATGGGTCCATCAATGCCTTGCCCCATGACTCAGAGATAACTCCCTCCAGGAGCCATTTCTGTTTGATGGGCAATCAAGGACCAATCATGACTCAGAAGGATATCAGCCCATTGGGAGATGCTCCGCCCAGTGGGGAGGAGCTCAGCATCCCCACCTGGATATAATCTGGGCTTTGGGACAGAACAGGCAGCCCTTACCCACTGGTTTCCAGAGGACAAGAGCTGCCAGATCTTTTCTACGGGATCACCACTTCAACAAGACCGTTTCATCTGGACTGCCACCACCACCCTAACTAGCAGGGTGTCAGGTTTTATTCTGACTCTCTCAGTGGTTTCATTTTGTACTATTGCATGTATTTTTGGTTTTTTTCCCATTTCCTAATAAATTTTATTTCTGGCTTGGAATCTCACTGGTTTTGCTTTCTAACCAGAACATAATTTTGGCACCCAAAGTGGGGCAGCAAGGTTTTTTCTCAAGAACCTGGTTCCACACAGTGGGTAATGCAGAAGTATGGGGAAACCCCTTGTGTACCACCGGGAGACCTATATTTAAGTGAGAACTGTGTATAAAGTTTCATTTTGCATTATAGATATGTATAACTGTAACAGAGTATTGGTTTGGGTATAGATGGCAATAGGATAAGGGGTGGATTATGTCCTAGGTTAAAACATAAAGATTTATTCTATTCCCACCCTTAAGAGCTGTTCAGACCAGCAGAGGCATTGTTTTTTCCTTATCTCCTGTTAATAGGCCCCTCAATCCCTTGCCCCATGACTCAGAGGTAACTCCCTCCAGGAGCCATTTCTGTTTGATGGGCAATCAAGGACCAATCATGACTCAGAAGGATATCAGCCCATTGGGAGATGCTCCACCCAGGGTGGAGGAGCTCAGCATCCCCACCTGGATACAACCTGGGCTTTGGGACAGAACAGGCAGCCCTTACCCACTGGTTTCCAGAGAACAAGAGCTGCCAGATCTTCTCTACAGGATCCCCACTTCAACAAGACCATTTCATCTGAACTGCTACCACTGCCCTAACCAGCAGGGTGTCAGGACATATTCTGACTCTGTCAGTAGTTTTATTTTGTATTATTGCATGTCTTTTGGGTTTTTTTTCCTTTTCCTAATAAATTGTATTTCTGACTTGGAGTCTCATTGGTTTTGCTTTCAAACCAGAACATAATTTTGGCGCCCAAGGTAGGGCACCAACGTTTTTGCTCAAGGACCTGGTTACTCTGGGTGGGTAATGCAGAAGGATGGGGAAACCCCTTGTGTACCTCAAAGAGACCTAATTTTAAATGAGATCTGTGTGTAAGGTTTCATTCTGTATTTTATATATATCAATATATCTATACATCTATATATCTTTTATATACATTATTATGTGCATTATACATTTATATATTTTTTTCTTTTGTGTTTCATGTATTTTGGGTTTTTTTCCCTTTTTGTAAAAACTTTTATTTCTGACTTGGAGTCTCTCACTGGTTTTGCTTTCAAACCAGAACAACTGGCCACTGGCGATGGTTGTTTGGCTTGATTGACCAATTGGATCCACATGTGTGTTGTGACTGTCTGGCAAGGACCATGGGTTGTTCTTAGTGGTAAAGTATGGTATAACAAAGCAATTGATCAGCCTGCTGCAATCATGGAGTCAATGCTCATTATTCCCCACTGGGGACTGCTGCTACAACAGGGACTGATGATTTTTCTTTCAGCACTGGACAGTCCTTTTTGCAATGCCCCCATTTCTTAGAGGATGCACTCTGAGCCTTCTCCACAGGGGAAGCTTTCTTGTGTGACTTTTCCCGAGTTGCCTTCTTGCTAGGCTGGGATTAACTCTTTCAGTTGGGCCCCTGTCTGAAAACACCTTCCAGGCAACCTCCAGCAGTTTATCCATGTCTTCAACTCCCTTTATCTTTTCTTATGTCATTTGAAGCCTGACCCACACAAAACAAAACCAGGTGTGCTTTACCATCAGCTGATTCAGGATCTAGATCAGTATATTTGATGGCAGATCTCTTCACCTGTTCAAAAATCAGTGGGTGATTCATCATAATTTTGCCTCACTTGATGAAGCTTTGACCAATTTACAGCTTTAGAGACCCCATATTTTAACCCACATACCACGATGCTTTGATATCATTTTAGCTTTGCTATCTGCTTGGGTGTATTTGCATTCCACCCAGGGTTTTCAAGGGGAAATATCTCAGTGACAGCGCCCTGAAGCAGCTCCCTGGCTGTGCTCCCCTCAAGGAACATTGGGATGGCTTTATTGACCACTCACCTCTCAATGGGGTCAATAATGTGTCTGACACAGAGTTCAGATCAGCCCAGGCTGATTTATATAAAGGATATTATGAAATTAAATAATTAATTTATTAATAGGCTGTATGGTGCAGACCTGAACTGACAGATTACGTTGCACCAACCAGCAGCTACAAGGAATCATCGATAATCAATATCAGTATCAAATACCGTATCAAATTACTGGTGATTAATAACAATGTGCAAAAGGCAATACAAATGTGCAAAAGGCAATACAAAAGTGCAGAAGCCAATAAAGAACTGCAAAAGCCAATTATTAAATTGTCATTTATATCCCGGCTCTGCTGCATGCACAGTGGAAAGCTGGAAGCTGCTGAGGGGACTCATTCACCCCTGTCCCTGAGTGTGCCCAGAGTGTCCCCAGTAAGGTCATCCCAGGAATTCCCATCAGGATTTGGGGCAGTATCAATGAAAATTCCCAGAAAATTCCCCAGATTTATCTCAAATACTGCACGGGGAGGGCACAGGTGACAGCAGCAATGCCCCTGATGATGTCACTGCCATGAAGATGTCACAGCAGTGACATCACCATCCCTGCAGCAGCTTCGGGATGTCCTCGATGGCTTTTTGGCACTTCTCGGTCACCACATGGGCACTGGAGCTGTAAGAATCACAACTGAAGATGTTGTTGATGTCATCATGTGCCCCCAGCAGGTGATCCTTTGCCAGGCGGGTGTTGGACTCCCACAGCGACTTGGCCATGGACACCTTGGCTGGCAAAGCTTTGGGGACATCGGGGAACTCCTCCTTTGTCACCTCTGTGGTGTCTATGATGTCCTTGAGCAGGTGCTGCACCTCCCAGGGGAACGTGGTGGCTTCGTCACACACGGCCACCAAGCGCTCCAGCAGCCCCAGGGCCTCCTCCACCTCCTGTCCCTTCCTGGTGGCTATCAATGCCTGGCTCTCAGCCACCACAGTCTCTCCCATGGCCACGGTGTCCACCAGCACCTCGTTGGAGGCTGCCACCATCCGGGCCTTGAGCGCA